AAAAGATAGATCAGCATAAATACCAAGAACTTATTGGTAGTTTGCTTTATTTGGCATGTAAATCTAGGGCAGATATAGCATTTTCTGTTACTGTTTTAAGTAAATACAATACAGATCCTAGAGAAATTCACTGGAATGCTGCCAAAAGAGTATTAAGATATTTACAATTCACAAAAAAATTAGGTTTAGTTTATACTGTGGGTGACACCAAGCTAGAAGGCTTTACAGATGCAAGTTGGAATTCAAAGAATTTTAAATGTTCATTTGGAGGTATAGCCTTTAAATTTGGAAATAATCTTATTTCTTGGTCATGTAAAAGCTTGCCAAATGTTTGTCTCTCAACTACAGATTCTGAACTTTATGCTTTTACACTGGGTGTAAAGACAAGTATTTACATACGATATCTGATTGAAGAATTAACTGGCAAAAATTGTAAGCCAACAATATTTTGTGATAATCAATCAGGAATTACTTTGATAAAATCTGGACAAACTAGCAATAAATCTAACCACTTGATTAGAACCATCAATTTTTTAAATACCAACTTATGTGTATATAATAGCTTTGATATTATGTATATAAATACTGATCAAAATGTTGCTGACATCTTAACAAAACCCTTAAGTAAAGGGAAATTTCATTATTTTTTAAATTGTTGCAATATTATCTCATAACTTTAACTACTGAACTTTAATAAAATTTGAAAATATTAGCCTATAACTAAAGGTTATTGTAACTTGAATAATATAAGGCATATTTTACTATATTCATATGAAGTGTTAACAGATTGTTGACTTCATTTAATCATATGTTTCAAATTAAATTGTAATATTATTAGTTTAAATACTTGATTTTATATCTTTTGTCAAATATTGCTTTATTCAAATATTTAGGCTTAACAATACCTAAAAGTTGTAAACAAATAAATGGGGATGTCGCCGCCATCTAGATGACGTCATTGTTATGACGCAATGCTCGGCCATTCCAACTACTACCTTAGTTACCTGTCTATACTTATAAATTTTAAAACCATGATAAAATATTCAGCTAAATCTTACGGGGGCATTTGTTGAATTTAAGATATATCACGGAATATTTTATCAATAGATTTTTATAAATATAGTTATCATCATCAATGGTTGTTATTCTTCTTCTTATTTTAGTTTTACATATGTATGTTTGTATCTAAATGATAAATAAAGTTTTATTAAATTAAAACGTATTTGTTATGCATTGATTGAATATAATAAAAAACCAATAATATGCATCTTTTTTAAATATAAATTAATGTGAAAATATCATGATTTACTTTATTCCTATTGTAAATATTGAGATCTGCCACCACAGGCCCTCTTCTTTTATTTAAATCATATTAAAGTGCTTTATAAAAATTTGACTCTTTCAAAATATTTTTCAACTACTTACTCACGATTACAATTCTATTGTTTGGAACACTTTTAATTGGGTCCTATTTTAAATAATCAACCATGACCTCTTTGTGATTAAAATATTAATAATTAAAATATACAAGTATCAGAGTCATAATCAACAATCAATCAATTATGTCACCGTTTGCTTTTGTGAATGGAATAAATACCCAAATATGGCCATCTACTTATATATTTGCCTTATTCTGTCTGTTTGTCTGTTTGAAGCTCACGGATGGGATTTTTCATAACCATCGGTGGTTCAGTGGTAGAATGCTCGCCTGCCACGAGGGCGGCCCGGGTTCGATTCCCGGCCGATGCATTTTTTTTTTTACAATTTTTAAAACTCATTTATATATTATACAAGAATGACATCCACGGCGCCAATTTATAATTGTAACGAATAGTATTTGAATAAAAGCATTTAATCGGGTAAAACCCGGGCGTTGCGCCCGGGTCATTCGTATATAATAATTGGATAAACGAATGCAAGACAAAAACACCGCGAATGTTTCTTTTTTTAAGGCAATTTCTTTTTAAGGCAATTATCGTTATTTATCGTTAATTTTTGTTTCGATTTTATTGAAAAAAAAAAACGATATGGTGCCTTTAAAAAATTATCTTTATTACTATGCAGTTTTCTATTTAGTCAATATACCTAAGTTCATGTTGCAAATGTAATTATCTCTATCGATTTAGTAGGTGAAATGCAAAAATAAAAATCGACATGATGAAATCTTTATGAAAATTCACATTTTTATTTTTATATTTTCAAGACACACACAGTTTGGGGCGGGACGTTTCACAAGAGAGACATCCACGGCGCCAATTTATAATTGTAACGAATAGTATTTTAATTAAAACATTTTAAAAACACACAGTTTGGAACGGGACGTTTCACAAGAGTGACATCCATGGCGCCAATTTATAATTGTAACGAATAGTATTTGAATTAAAACGTTTTTATAATATATGCGCACTCGGGTAAAACCCGGGCGTTGCCCGGGCCATTCGTCTAGTTTCTTATAAGCATCGGTGGTTCAGTGGTAAAATGCTCGCCTGCCACGTGGGGGGGCCCGGGTTTGATTCCCGGTCGATGCATTTTTTTTTTTTACAATTTTTAAAACTTATTTATCTATATATATAAACATGAATGTATGTGTGTCTGTTTGTCCTTTATGCCTGACCAAACCACTCATTGGAACGCCATGAAACTTTGGGAAGTTATTTAGTATAGTACTGGGAAGGTTTTCTAGCAAATAAAATTTTTGAAATAACTTTTCGCTTTAAAATAATCAAGATAAATATTCTAATTTATCTGTTATAATTCAACAATCTGCTCTAAATATTATCATGATGATACGATGATTTTGTAATGTAGAAAATTAGGAAAGACAAAATTCAGGATGACACGGCAATTTATTTGAGACAAGAATAATGATACAATTCCAAGGCAAGATACTATTCCTTTAACTTCCAATTACCGAGGGAACCAATTAATAATGATTTTATTCAACTTATCGAGTATTTTTCAAGGGACCGGGAAAAAATGTTCAGTTTATCGAGAGATTCGTTAGACAAACCTTTACTCGGGTAAAACCCGGGCGAAGCCGGGTACGTCCATACAAGAATAATGATACAATTCCAAGGCAAGATACTATTCCTTTAACTTCCAATTACCGAGGGAACCAATTAATATTGATTTTATTCAACTTATCGAGTATTTTTCAAGGGACCGGGAAAAAATGTTCACTTTATCGAGAGATTCGTTAGACAAACCTTTACTCGGGTAAAACCCGGGCGAAGCCGGGTACGTCCGCTAGTATATTATACAAGAATGACATCCACGGCGCCAATTTATAATTGTAACGAATAGTATTTGAATAAAAGCATTTAATCGGGTAAAACTCGGGCGTTTTCCCGGGTCAATCAGCTAGTTACTTTATATGTGACTCAGAGCTTCTTTCGAAAAAACTAATACTTGTAATAATTATACAAATATATAAGAAAAAATATAAATATGGTTATTATAATTTCAATGCTATCCATCGATTAAATTTGTAAGGATAATATTATGGCGATGTTTTTCTTATGATATTTATTATCAAATATCTTTCTACGTGGATATATTGTCGCAATTGGTATATAATTGTCGCAATGAGTAGAGGTACACAGAGCTATTTCAGCAGGTTTTATTATTAAATTAAGGCTCGGAAAATTGAGTGATATCTTTCTCACCTTTTATCTAAAGAAAAAAAAAAGGAAATAAATATATACAGTTACAGAATTTACATAACTTCGAACTATTAAAATATTTACATACACCTATCCCCCGATTTACACGGTACTTGTTTTATACGTTTTCGCTTTTACATGGTTTTCCAAATAAGTTTTTTTTGTTTGTTTTTATCGCACTATACTAAAATGCGATATTCTACTCTATACTACTTATGTTGAAAAGAATATTGGGAGGCTCTGATTCATGAGGGGGCGAACACCTATTCAGATTTGACAGTTTAATATACACCTATCCCTCGATTTACACGTTTTTCTCAGGAACGTATCTACCGTGTAAATCGGGGGATAGGTGTATATTTAATAATTAAACAATTACTTTGATTTCACTCTAAACAAATTTCGCGACAATATAATGAGATATGGTGATATTTCAATCTACTTATATATTTGCCTTATTCTGTCTGTTTGTTTGTCTGTTTGTCTGTTTGTCTGAAGCTCACGGATAGAATGCGCGCTCATTGGCTGCCAGGGAACACGTGTCCTCCCTGCCCCCCTCTAGACAACCCTGTTATTCAAAAACCATACATCCAATCGCCATGAAATTCTGGGATATTATTAGGTATATCCCCGGAAAGGTTTTCGAAAAGTAATTTCTTGAATATCTTGAATATCCTTAGAGTTATTTGCAGAATTGTAGATATAGCTCGCAGGCAGCGCCACCATTGCGACGACGGAGATAGGCTTAAGTTTGCTGCTCCACCCCTGTTGACCTTGGGTCATCGTGTGAGTCACAGCATGATGCAACAAAAACACTCTCTCTGGGGATTGCGGCGTCAACAACCTGTAAGTTTGCCTCTCTCATAAACCTGTCTATACAGACCACCCTGACTATAGCGACCACTCTAGACAACCCTGTTATCAGCTGCCTGTCTATACAGACCACCCTGTCTATAGCGGTCACCTTAGGCAACCCTGTTATCAGCAGTGTGATACATCCACCTGTCTATACAGACCACCCTGTCTATAGCGACCACTCTAGACAACCCTGTTATCAGCTGTGTGATACATCCACCTGTCTATACAGACCACCCTGTTAATAGCGACCACCCAAGTCAACGTTTTTAAAATATACTCGCACTCGGGTAAACCCCGGGCGTTGCCCGGGCCATTCGTCTAGTATTTTATATCAGTTCTTTTTTTCTAAAATTCTTAAAAGAGTTTGTAAGGCTGCGACCATTGCTGGACATGAAATTTGTGAGTAGGTTCCACATCAGGACATTTGTTACATTATAATAAATATAATATATTAATATATTATATAATATATATAATAATAATAGGGTAGCCTCTAGTGGATATGGCATCTGCCCGGTAAGCGGAACATTGTGGGTTCGATTCCCATCCCTGGACACTTTTATTTTCCGTTTATCATTACTCTTTATAATTCACCCTTTCTCACCTCATCCAAAAAGGTTAGAAATAGTCAATATTTCACCTTGAAATAAATCTTTGATTTTTCGTTGAAAAGAAACTCATGCGGTGTAACTTCAAGTGTTGTTTTACAATTGTTACATGTCCTTTAGGTTCTTGTACCATCTGGATGTATTGTCATTCCTTTATAGTGTTTCAATATGAGTCTTGTTATTGTTTTTGTAATTTTTCTCTCAGAGTTTATTTCGTATATTCTGTCAAAGTTAATTGTTTATGTAAAAGGTAAAAATCCTATATTGTTGATAATAATGATTACTATACCTCTTCTTCAAAGTAACGATACTTCGGCCAGTAATTCTTTTTTATTGTCTCGACAAAAATATTTTGTCCTCGTCAGGAGCGAACAAAAATTTAAACATTTGGCAAAGCGTTAAAAAATTATTCTAAGGCTGCAAGGACGTTCTCACGTGATATTTCAAATATCACCCTTGCAGCCTTAGAATAATTTTTTAACGCTTTACCAAATTAAGAAAAAGGCATCTCCTTATCGTGCAACTGAAAGTTGCTGATGGCTTGCGCCATTTATCGGAATAAATATCAACTATTCTCGTTGATTTCTAATTATTCCAGAATTGGCCAAATACCCATTCTTGATTAATCAAGAAAAGCTAACCACGGACGTGTTTCGGGCTGTTGGCCCTCATCAGCGTGGTGCAAGCTGTACCTCAACGACCAAAAAATTGGTCATTAAGGCATCCTGAAAAATCATGAAACGGGTAGTTAAGGCCAGAATTGCGTGAGACCGCGACACAATGTGAAAAAAATAGTACAAAGGTAATATTGTACTGGGATAAGGTGCATAAATTAAGAAAAAAGGCATCTCCTTATCGTGCAACTGAAAGTTACTGATGGCTTGCTTTGCCAAATGTTTTAATTTTTGTTCACTCCTGACGAGGACAAAAGATTTTTGTCGAAACGCCGAGATAATAAAAAGATTTACTGGCCGAAGTATCTTTAATTTTAAGAACAATGAATGCTGGCCAGGCAGCCTCTATCTTTATGATAGTAACTATAACCTTTCACAATTAAATTTGCATACTTGCTTTCCTTCTAGAATTTAATCTATATAAATAACTACAAAATCTGGGTTTGTTTGCTCCGTATAATTCACATAAAATATATTTTTCATTATAAAAATTCCTCCTTAAAATTAATTTATAATCAATTTCTCTAAATATTTCTGAAATTTAAGCTTAACAAAAAATATTTCCCATAAAAAATGAGAAAATTTTATTAAATTGTTTGCGGAATATATTCGGTACTACTGTTTGTATTTATTTTGCAGCAGATCTCCTTGGAGATTTAAAGCAACCGACAAATTCGATAAAAACTTCAAGGCATATTTAAATTCACGAGATTTTTCGTATTGGCAATATTTTTCCCTGTTTTTTTAAATACATATTTGAAATATATATATAATATATTTTTATAAAATATGTATGTAGGCTTAAACGTCCACTCCATTTAAATGATTAGGTCCTTAGTCAAAAGAATTATTACCGAAATCACTGAATATATAAAGCTTTACCACGGTAAAATATTAAATAGTTTTACATTTTAATTTATTATGATACATTAGCGCGCCATCTGTTATCAAAATTCGAAACTATTATAGACACGTATGATTCTTTTAAAAATAAAACAATTCTACTGTCCTTACTGCAATGGATAAATTAATGGGAGGTCCTGGCTCATCAGTGGTGAACCCTCCCAGCGGTTTCGCCAGTTTAATCTACCATACCGCTGTTATATTTCATTTTTTCATATCCCTTCTTCTTCTTTCTTATCTACACTCAATCATATTAAGGTATCAAGCTTGTAAAGCTTGAGAATTTTGATGGTGTCTGCCGGGGAAGAGTAGAGCTCATCAATGGATGAGTTTGAAAACCATCATGATTGGGTGAAATAGAATGCGTCTGCCTTTGTCATTAAGCCTGGGAGCACTACTCAGTGGCAGGCCGACTTAGCTCCAAAAGAAATGGCCGCCTCTGACATGAGGAACAGACGCCATGTGTAGCCACTTACAGGGTACTATCAGCCGGGCCAGCTGAGCCCAGGTCGATATTCCTTTTATAGTGATACTGATGCTAAACTCTTGGAATGGGTATTTTAGTTGAACTATGGACCTAAAATCAGGAATATCGCGTTATAGGATTTTAATAAATATTTTTCATATAACTAAAAAAGTTAATAAACGAATGTATCCTGGCTTCGCCCGGGTTTTACTCAAGTAAAAATGTTAACCCACCCAATATTTTAAACAAAATTGTATTAATAGTAGTATTAATGATTATAATAATTCATCATATTAAAATAAAAAAGGCATATCCTGACCAGGAAACATGTGCTTTTCATAAGGCAGAGCGCCATCTGGTGGAACAGAAATCAACTAAACATTGATTTAGCCTGTTGCCTGATATTGGCCAACCCAATTTCTTGATAAATCAAGAAAAGCCATCCACGAATTCATTATATATTGTATTATTATTTTAATCATTGTCTAATCCAATAATATGCTAAATACTTCTTTATATTAAACGATTGGAAGTTATTTTCCTTGTAGATACTTAAATGTCTTGGAACTCTTCATGCCATATGTAACCCAGAACTCATTAAAACCTCACTCATAGCAGAGATAGAGATAGTTCGCAATCTCAACTATCTAAGGGCCGTACATCACCGGGACGTCATGGCGACGTAACCAAGGATGTCGCTACGGCTACCTCCAGGCAACCGTGGGTGGCCAAAACACGTCGCCAAGAAGGCCGCCCGCAAAGTCTCGACCACCTCAGTCGCTGGCTATGTCGCCATGGCGGTGAGATACGGTCCTGACGGTGCGTAGACTCTCATTTATATTGCTGCCGCCAAGTGGCCAGTCTCCACACGAGGAGACAGCGGCGACGTCTCCAATTCAAGCCCGTCACCAAGTAATAGCCAAGTGAGATACCTGCCATTCATTTTAAAAGAGTTAATTGGAAACGTTACTGGCTACGTCACCATGGCGTCTCGGTGAGCCATAGCTCTAAATATAAAGCTCTGCGGGTTAGAGGCGGCATAGAAAGCAATGAGCAAGTGTATCAATTTTCCAAGGCTCATTCCAACCTGCCTCTATCCTACTCCCCTCTATCTAAAAGGTTTGTTCGAGTCCATAGCGAACAGTATTCAATTCAACTTTGGAATGAACTCTATGCCAAATTTATGCCTCAAGAAACCTTAGGAGAATAGCTGCATCCCCAAACACTCTCATGGCGATCCTATACAGTATGAATTGTGAAGAGTAATGATGAACGGAAAAATAAAAGTGTCCAGGGATGAAATTTTATTTTTCTGTTCATCATTACTCTCCACAATTCATCCTTTCATACTTCCTCCCTAAGGATAGAAATAATCCTTATTTCTCCTTAAAATAAATTACTATTTTTCGTTCAAAAGAAACATTTGCTGTAAAATTGTCAAACGTCATTCTACAATCATAATCCGCAATATATTGTATTATAACGTATATATATAGATAGAAATTTAACACATCGCACTTTATTAAACCTAAAAATAAGTCAATTAAAAAAATCTAATTTCTCTCACACAGCTAAAATTTTCATTACATACCTAAAGAAACCTCAGGAGAATAGCTGCATCCCCAAACACTCTCATTGCAATCCTACACAGTATAAAAATGTTGGCACTGCCTCTACAATCCTCACAGATCACGGCTTTGTTAAAGCCGATGCTACAAAAATATCAAATGGCGACCCCATCTGTCCACATTGTCACCAGGAAGACCAAACTGTCACCCACCTTCTCTTCAGATGTCCCGCCTACCATCTACAATGGTCTTAAACACCAAATCTCCAAGGAAAATTTGTACTTACCCCTGAAGACTTACAGAACATTCCCAAGTTCAAATCAGACTTATGACATGATCAACTAGGTGTTTACTACCACCATAAGACGTTAAGTCTGAAGACCAACCCGGACAGTTGGTGACTTTAGTACGTGGTGGCTCCAGGAGTTTTTCCGGCTTACATGAAGAGATGGAGAAAAAAACTAAACGTGAAAAATATAGATCATCAATATACAGTTAAACCTGTCTATAGCACATTGGCAACAACTGGTTAGTTAGGAGGGCAATGTATTGAGTAACGGCAGTGATGATGATAGAATTTGTTCAGTGAATTTCTATTTAATTTATGAAAGTCGATTCTCTCTTTAAGACTTACAGTAAATTACTTCCACCGTGTGTACTCTAAATGAACTCAACACACCACGTCCTACTGAACACCATTTACAACAGTTTATGGGGTTTACATGGTTATATATATAGTTAAACCTGTCTATAGCGCCCCCTCTTGGGACTCACCAAAATAGGGTGCTATAGAGAGTGGTGCTATAGACAGGTTATTTTTAATGTAAATCGCATTGTACTACGTATTTAAAATCAGGAGCTATAGAGAGGAAGGCGCTATTTAGAGGGGGCGCTATAGACAGGTTTAACTGTACATTAATAGAATATAAGCCCATTCTACGGACAGTTCTAAAACTTCAGCCAGTTCTAAGCCTTATTAAAGTTTTATCTAAATAATATAACGTGTATATGTAGAAAACGACGTTTGACAAGTTTAACCGCAAATGTTTCTTTTGAACGAAAAATCGTAATTTATTTTAAGGAGAAATAACGATTATTTCCAACCTTAGGGATGAAGTATGAAAGGATGTATTGTGAAGAGTAATGATAAACGGAAAAATAAAAGTGTCCAGGGATGGGATTTTATTTTTCCGTTCATCATTACTCTTCACAATTCATCCTTTCATGCTTCATTCCTAAGGATAGAAATAGTCGTTATTTATCCTTAAAATAAATTACGACTTTTTCGTTCAAAAGAAACATTTGCGGTAAAATTGTCAAATGTCGTTCTACATTTTCATAAT